CAAAAAATCCCCGCTTCTCTTTTTTTACCTCATTGTCAGATGTCAAAGGACAACGGCCCATTCGGTTACTGCGCACTGTTCCAGAAGCGCAGACCTTCTTATCAGATAGCTCTCTCATAAGTTCATAGCTGGTAAAAAAGTTATCAAAGTAGAAACAATGCTCAGAGGGATTTTCGATAACCTCCATTTTTTTCAAGATTACAGAAGATCCTAGACTAACACTGGCAGCAGTATCGGCTTTTTTACCTTCGTATACCTCGGTATCGAAACAGAAACCTGTCTCTGAGCAGCACATCGCCCATTGTTTGAAACCAAATCGAATGGGCTTTCCCCTGATAAATTGTTTCAGGTAATGATGACCAAAATACCGCACCATTTGCTCATCAATACTCAGGTTGCTACTGAAAACTCCAAATCTCATGCATAATTTATTGAACCTGTCTATGATGGGTCTTATTTTATAGAGCTTATCATGCTCTTCCGGCTTGACAGGTATAAGTGAATTGTCATTGAAATGTATGTTTCGTTTTATTTCTAGGTAGCGATTTCTAGACATACATGTTCTTACAATTTGGACATTTAAATCTTCGTCTTCTGACCAATACATTTGTTCTTGTGGGAGAGAATGATATCCAGTCAATATGAGTATGCCTAGAAACTTTCTCAGACAATTTACAGAAAAAGTGAACTCATGCCTGTTGTTCTGGGCTGCATAAATCACACTTTGCCTAACAATATAGGTCATTAGTTCTTCATCAAAGAATAACTCAAAAACTTCGGCTGGTGATTTACCGCGAATTTCATCTTTAATTTTTTGCCGACGGATATCGCATGCCGATTGAGCTTCATTTGGATCAGCTAATACACTAAAATTGGCTTTTTCTACCTTTTTCCAGGCTGGAGGTTGACTGGTAGCAATTTTAGATCTCTTGGGCGCTTGGGCAGTTGTTTTCGATCTTACCCGTTTTGAAGTAGAACAGCTGGGCTGCGGCTGATCAGATTGGGGTATCTTTTTAACATCCGTGAGGCCGTGAAGCTCAATATCTCCTGGAAGGTCTAGGGGAACGGAATCACCTAAGACATCCTCATCTAGATCCTCAGAATCTGTCACGCAGTCTACGCGGTCTGGTGGAAGTTCAACGATGTCGATATGGGTATATTCACTTTCATCAATGTAGACATGATTTTCTGGATCATCTATGTAAGCCTCAAGCTCTTTCAAGGAGCGGAAAGGTTTGGAACTCATAATCTAAAAAAAAAGAAAAAAATATTACATGTGCCATGGTCCCCATTTGGGTATCGGAACACAAAAGGACCCTACAGCCACATTTTTATTATTTTTTGTGTGGCTGTATCTTTTTTGTATGCTTAAGACTCTAGTCTATCCACACTTTATAAACAAAAAACTCTTGTCAAAACTTATCTATCAAAAAATAATAATGAAAATATAGGTATGTAAAAAGGTCAACTTACCAGCCACAAATTTTCACAAAAAGCTAAATATTTCAATATTTACGCCACCAAAATATCGTAAACCAACAAAACCACACACGTGAATGTTCAAGGAACAAAACATAACCTAAACTAACAGAGTTTCATAATATGCGTAGTTGCCAAACGGTACAAAAAGCGAAATCCCCAAATGGGGATCATGGCAGCTAATGGGTTAATATAATTTTTTGTTTTGAATGATTTTCATTCATTCATTAATAGTAGTATTTCTTCAGTCAACCAGTCTATATGTTTTCTTTTCTTTGGTTTTAAGTTTTCATTTGCTATTTTAATTATTGCTACTTTTATATTTTCTCATTTCTGATCAATGTTATAGCTTCCTTTATTCAGTTCTTGGGCATGACGTAGATTTTCAGTAAGAGTTTTTACAGTTTGTTCCTTTGTTTGTGTCTCTCTTAATCTCTTAATATCAATTCTAATTTGTGTGGGTTTTTTAATTAGTTTTAATTTGGTTCGTAATATCACTACTAAGGGGTTATGGTTTAAACCGATGGCTGTTTCAGGGTAAGTTTTGGCAGAGAGTATAGAATTACGACGCCTTTATCGAATAAGGCCAAAGTCAATTTGATTTCGGATTATTGTATTCGTTGTATCACTGGAAGATTTCCATGTATACAATCTTCTTTTTGGTAGCTTAAAAAGTGTATTAGCTATTACAAATTCTTCTGTCTGGCAAAATTGTATCAAACGATCACCACGTTTATTTCTATTTCCTAGACCTTACTTCCCCACATATTTATCTACTCTTCCCTGACCAACTTTGGCATTAAAGTCGCCCATTACTATTGTAGTGTGATGTTTCTTCATTGATTTTAAAACTTTCAAATTATGGTAAAATAGTTCGATATCGTCGTCATCTTTACCTGCCCTAGGAGCATAAACTTGAATAAAATTTACTATACCTTTTTTAGATTGAATTTGTATTGATAAGATCCTATCAGAATACAAAGTAAAACTTCTCACAGAAAAATTTACTTTTTTTGCAACTACGATAGCAACACCATATCGATGATTGACCTCGGTGTTACCTGAATAATACATGGTTTCATTATTTGCAATTTGTTGGCCTGAACCTGGCCACTGTACGTCACTTATACCTTAGACATCAATTTTGAGGTTTTCCATTTTAAGCAGTACGTTAGCTAATTCACCACTTGCGTATAGACTTCTGACATTCCAGGTTGCTATTCCCAATGTCCTAAGTGCTCAGGGATTTCTCTGGTTTACGACCTGGAAGTTTCTGCGATCTACGGTTATTCCTACCCTGCCGGATCTTGGATTCCGTGCTTCATTACCAGTAAGTTTGTTTACTCTACTTGTCATTTAATATTTATGACTTTACTAGGGTAGTCTCTAATGCAGTGGTTCCGCGTTGCCTTTTGCGTCCTTACGCCGTTGACCTACTGTTCGATTTATCCGCCTTTAGAAGCAGTTTTTCAACCCTTGGGCAAAAGAGCGCCCTTTCACTTATTAACTCATCCGCTCGCAGCGGTTGGTCACAATTGGGGGATTGCTTATACCGGCAATCGTTCGGTGGCCAAATGTGGCATTACCAACGTATTTTGAAAATATCATGGATGGATCGCAAAACAAACGAACAAGTTCTCGAACAACTAGGAAAACAATGCGAAGTTTTAAATTCCATAAAAATAAGGAAATTGGAATACTTGAGGCACAGCATGCAAGGTGAAAAATACGAACTACTAACGAATATAATGCAGGGTAAAATCAAAGGCAAAATAAGCGTAGGAAGACGTACAATCTCGTGGCTACGCAATCTCCGTAAATGGTTTGGATGCAGTACAATGGAACTATTCAGGCGCGTAAGCAACAAAATTATAATTTGATGTAAGGTTGAATACTCGAATAAATGAACTTTGATAAAATTAAACGTAGATATCGAGCACGACTTTATTAATTAAATCTTGCCCAAGTACCATCGCGATGATGCTTTAGAAAATCGAAAGTACTTGGGCAAGATTTAATTAATAAAATTGTGCTCGATATCTGCCTTTAATTTTATCAAAAAAAAAATATAATTGCCAGAATGATTTCCAATCTCCGATAGGAGCAGAAGCTGATAAAGAAAAAGAACCGTCCAAAACAGACATGGAAAAATTAAGCAATATTTATCGCAATATTCTTAATATTTTAAATTAATTGTTAGCCATAAATAAAATTTTAGGAGACCGGTCCTGAACATGCTAATACAAATTGTGTTTACATTTCAGTCTCGGAAAATTGTTTTTTCTAAAATATTTAGTATCGAAATAAACTTAAGGGCTCTATTCACATGCGTATTTGTCCGGAGCATCCGGAGGACAAGGATCTACAGACCGAGAGTTTGGTATACAAATTCCACGGCTTCGCGCAATCGTACTTGTAAGTTCGTGAACTAAGTCGACTGGAGTTACAATTTGCCAAATTTAAATGTAATCGTTTCTACTCATTCATATTAATATTATAATGTATAATATATTATCTCGTCCTTTTTTTAAGCAAGGCGCAATATTTAATTACTTAATATTATTATTAATATTAAAAAATAATATTAAAAGCTTTAATAATATTACCAATATTAAAAACTTTAATATATTATACATTATAATATTAATATGAATGAGTAGAAACGATTACATTTAAATTTGGCAAATTGTAACTCCAGCCGACTATACGAACTTACAAGTACGATTGCACGAAGTGGTGGAATTTGTACCAAACTCTCGGTCTGTAGATTCTTGTATGTGTCTTGCTTGCCGTCCGTGGTTCAAGACGATGAGCACGGACAGCGAGCCGGACATAAATATAGGCATGTGAGTGAATAGTTTCAAGGATTTGTATGCCTGACGAGGAGTAGGTACATGTTAAAATATTGTATCAAGTTGCTAGGGTAGGTAGTAAATGTGTATTTGCTAAAATACCATTCGCGGATAATAAAGCATTTTGGAAAAGTTTTATTTCGTTATATAAGTTAAAGCTTGTGGAATATAAAAAGTATGCAAAAAATGCATATAATGAATTGGTTGAAAAATGCCAAGAAATTTACCCAGATGCAGATGTAAAGTATGTAAGAAAGAAAATAGATTTCTTGCGTGCTGAATTTCGACGATTTTATGAATCCACCTAGTGGTATTTTGACTTAATGTTATTTATATAAGACCAAGAAAAGGTTCGCCCTGGAACATCTTCAATGAAATCCCAGGAATCAGAACGGGATACTCAAGGTAAAATAATGGTAAGTCATATATTTATTTTTGGTCCATTTTAACAAAGAAGAAGACACAGACAATTAAAAAAAAAAGATAAATATGGTAGACCATTTCGATTAAATTATTAATTCCCGTTAATCATGTCTTCTTGAAATTATATTCGTCCTTCATTACTATAGTATTGGGTAAATGCTTTTCTGAAATTTTTGGCAATATCATTGAAATAGGTCTTTTTGTTTTGTAAATCTTGTAATTGACGAAGTTCTTCACGCCAGTTACCATTTCGAATGCTCTGATTACGATTACTATCGTCGAGATCAATAGAGCGACTGTGTATGTACATTGTACGTAGAGCTCTTGCTTGAAAAATTATGTAGAACACAACATGTCATTAATACTTTATCAACTTTTTTGACATTATTAACCCTCGAGTGGGCGCGCCCGTCTATTTTGTACAGGTCCAATAGAAAAAGTCGTCTAAAAATAGAAGTGTTGTCAATCTGGCGATATCGTCGCGTCTATTTGTACAGTTGAGTAATATTTTTTGTTGCAGCTGAGTTTTGTGGGAATTCTTAGAAATACGAGAGTGTGACGGTTTTGTGTACATAATACACGGCGCGCCTTCTAATGTAAGTATTTTATCCATTAATTATTTTACTTTATAAAAAGTTGTAATTCGAAATTAAAGTAAAATTACCTTTAGTTTTACTTTATTTTAGGTTGAACAGGATATTGTAACATAATTGAGAAGGAATATAAGGGATATGCTGAGAGAATATTATGTAAGAATTTAGTTGCATTGTTATATTATTTGAGTGTTACTTTTTTATTTTTGCATGGCTAGAAAGAAGTTTTTAACTGAGGCTGAGTTATATAAAATTCCTAATGAAGACCTAGAAACAGAAACTAGTGAAATAGAATATTCCGAGGAATCTGAGACAGACGAAGAAATAATACACCATGATGACCACAATTCTGAATCTGAACGAGAACAGAATGTCCACGACAGAGCCAGTAACTTCGAGGATAATACTGTGGTAAGTACGACAGCTTTCGAATATTTTCAAGGTAAAGATAAAAAAACTGCATGGCGTAAGACTCCGCTGTCGTCGCAATCAAAAATTAAAAAGAAAAATATTATCAAAATACTACCAGGACCAAAGGCAGTGGCTTTAAAAGTGACCTCAGAACTTTCATCTTTTGAAAAAATTATAGATTCTGATATATTAGAGAACATCGTACAATTTACTAATTTGTACATTGATAGTAAAAAAGAATCTGTTTAATATAAAAGAGAACGAGATATGAAACATTCTTCAAAAAGTGAAATAATGGCGTTACTGGGAGTGCTTTACCTCTTAGGCACTAAAAAGGCTAACCATACCAACGCACTTGAACTTTGGACATCTGATGGAACAGGTATAGAAATTAGTAGAGCTGTAATGAGTTACAAAAGATTTTTATTTTTGTTACGTTCAATGCGCTTTGATGACAAAACCACAAGACCTGAACGGAAAATATATGACAAACTTGCACCAATTAGAAAAATATTGGACGCTTTTGTTAGTAACTGTAAAAATTCTTATATTCTTGGTGAATTTGTTACAATAGACGAAAAACTAGAGGGATTCAGAGGACGTTGTTGTTTAATTCAGTATTTACCAAATAAACCAGCAAAATACGGTATCAAGCTGTTTATTTTGGGCGATGCACAAACTTACTTTGTTGAAAATTTAGAGGTTTATTGTGGACGGCAACCTGAGGGGCCTTATGCTGTATCAAACTCTCCCAGTGATATTGTAGATAGACTTATTAATTATATAAAAGGTTCAAATCGCAATTTGACAACCGATAATTGGTATACCAGTTATCCTTTAGCTATTTCCCTTTTGGAAAATAAAATAACTACAATTGGCACTTTGAGAAAGAACAAAAGGGAAATACCTATTGAATTTTTACCCCAAAAACAAAAAGAAGTGGGAACGTCACTCTTTGGATTCCAGAAAATTGGCACTTTGGTTTCATTTGTTCCAAAAAAAAGTAAGTCGGTCATACTTTTATTCACGATGCATGACACTGCCACTGTAGACGTCGAAACTAAAAAACCAGAAATTATTCTAGATTATAATGCCACAACAAGCGGTGTGGATACTATTGACCAAATGTGTGCATCATATTCTGTAAAAAGAATAACCAGAATATGACCACTAATTATGTTCTTTTCTCTAATGGATATGGCGGGTATCAACGCGCAGGTGTTGTTTTGTGCCAATAAAAAAAATCCCAAAATATGTCGCCGAATTTTTCTAAAGAATTTAAGCTTGAGTTTAATGAAAGTAAATCTTTCAAAAAGAGCAACAATGCGATATCTACTAGAACCTAACCTACTAGAACAGAAGTGCAAAGCTCTAGAAAACGTGGACGTTGTGCATTATGTCCAGGCTCAAAAAATTCCAGCACAACAGTTAGATGGAGTTCGATTGTAGCAGCGGAAGCGAATAGTTCTCTGTGTGATCAAAGTGCTAATTAATAGAGTTGTTGTTGTTTTTACCAAAAAATGGAATTAAATTCAGATGGTAGAGGAAATCCACCTGACAGAGGAAGGAATGACGATATTGCTAGTAATATGGATTATGAAGTTAATGAAAAACAAAAGCAGTCTGAGGAAATTATAAATATTGATATTAATACATAATCAAAACAGGTACCGATAACAAATTTAAAAAACTTTTTACCAGATTATCAGGTAAGTAATAAAACAAATATTAATATAGGCCAGCCCATAATGTCAGAGGTGAAAAATAAATACAGTCAAGGTGACCAAGGTCCTTATTTTGTTTTTATGCAGAATAAGGAAGGTAACATTGGCCGATTGCATCGCATAGCGACAGCACGATTAATTTTATGTGCAGTACCTGCAATTAAAGATAATATTGTTAATATTAATATTATAGGAAAAAATAAAATTAAAATTGAATGTAACACATATAAAAGCGCTAATATTTTAGTGGAATGTAAAAAGTTAATAGAAAGAAATTACGATTTATATATTCCAAATTTTTTTACTCAGAAGAGTGGGGTGATTAAAGGGGTAGACAAAAATATTTCAGAAAACGAATTAAAAGGTATTATTGTTCCAAGATAGGGCAATTTTAAAGTAATAAACGTTAAAAGAATAAAGCGAAAAGAAAATGATCAACTGGTGGAGACGGGTACGATAGTGGTGTCTTTCAGAGGCCAAATGATTCCAAAACAAGTAATCATTGAACGAATGATATACCAAGTGGAACCTTACGTTCCGAGAGTAATACAATGCCTTAATTGCATTAGATACGGACACGTTACGTCACAATGTCGAGGTAAGAAAAGATGCAGCAAGTGCGGACAGGAACATGATTCAGATGTATGCGATTTAACAGATCCCACTTGTATATTATGTTTCGGAAACCATTCAGCATTAGATCGAAACAAGTGCGCTGAGTTTGAAAAACAAAAGGGCATTAAATATATAATGGCAAATGAAAATTTACCTTTTGAAGAAGCAAAATTAAAATACAGCAGTAGCTATAGGACAGTCCTGAATTCAACAAACACAGGAAATAGGTACACAGTGACAACCAAGAGAAAATGGAGTGAAGGAGCTCAAAATAAATCAGTTTATCCTTATTCAAAAGAACACGAAAATATACTGGACACTGCAAGCGCTTCTGCTTACCCGTCGCTACCAATTATAAACAACCCATTATATCAAAATCAAACAAAAATAGTCCAACAAAACTCACTAACTAGTAAACAAATTACTGATAATATAGTAACAATATTTAAAAATTTCTTAGACAAAAACTTAATTCCAATAGCAAACAAACAAATTTTAGACGACATTAAAAGTAATATAGAAAAAGTTTTAAATGGGCCTAGTAAATTATAAGATTTTACAATGGAATTCACGATCAATAGTGAACAATAAAGGCCATTTTGAAAAGTACATTTTCGAAAATAAATTCTTAGCTATTCATTTAAGTGAAACTTGGTTAAAACCGAATTCAAAGATAAGCTTCTCCCAATATAACATATTCCGTGAAGATAGATCAGATGGTTATGCAGGAGTAGCGATATTATTAAGAAAAAATATCAATTTTCAGAACAATTTAAATTTTTGTAAAATAAATAATGTCATGTGCGTTGCAGTACAGATTAAAATAAATAATAAAAACTTAAATTTATATTCCATTTATGCAAAACCCAAATTATGTGTGTCAAAAAACGAATGGGTTAAATTTTTTAATAGTTTACAAAAACCTTTTTTAATAGGGGGAGATTTCAACTGCCATAATAAAATGTGGGGCTGTGATGTCACCGATCAAGAAGGTATTTATCTTTTTGAGGCTATGGAGGAATGTGGACTTAATTTCCTAAATGATGGGTCAGAAACATTAATTCGTAGACCTATGAATTTAAATAGATCTGCTATAGACTTAACAATTTGCTCTAGGGATATTTATTACAAATTTAATTGGCACACAGAAACTTTGAGTCTGGGTTCTGATCATTACCCAATAGTAATAGAATTTAACCATAATACTGATAATAACGTCACTAATAGTAATGGTGTCATTGAAACTAATGATATATCTAGATCTAGAATTACATGGAATATTAAAAAGGCAGACTGGGCTTTCTTTACCTATCTCTTAAACAATGAAAAGAATAATAATATATAAGATGGTTCAGAGCAAGAATATTCCACATTTTGTGACTCTATCAATTTAGCTAGTAAATGCTGTATTCCAGAGAGGAAAGGGAAGCCCAATGCAAAATTTAATAAACCATGGTGGAATGATGATTGTAGGGATGCTATAAGACAACAAAAAGAAGCTTTTTTGCAGTTTAAAAGACTATCTAATTACGATAATTATTTAAAATATTAACAAGCAGAAGCTTATAAAAAAAGAATTATTTTAGGCAGCAAAAGAGCTTCTTGGAAAAACTTTTGTAATAGTTTAAATAAAAATACACCAATTAGCAAAATATGGAATGAAATAAGAAAATTAAAAAACGTTTATAATCCTCCCAATAATCCGATAGTTGTAAGTGAGTGGACAGATAAATTTTTTAATAAAATTGCTAGATCTTGGGTTATAGAAGGAGAAATTAATCACAGGAACCCTACGGATAATAGACATAACAATGACGAAGCATACAAAGACAACATATTTCTCACACAAGCATTTAGCCTGGAAGAATTAAAGAACTGCCTAAAAAAACATAATAATTCAGCTCCA